CTCCCACATCACTCATCAAGAAGATGCCCCTCAGACATGGCCACAGGCCAGTCCAATAGAGGGAATTTCCTGATTGAGGCTCCCTCAACCCAGGTGTGTCAAGTTGACACTAAAGCTATCCAGCACAAGGCATGATAACATAGAGGGTTTATTAGTATTAGATTTGAATTGAACAATTAATATCTTGTTGATACTTTATTGTGCTATATATATTCACAGTAAAATCTGTAGTTATAAATATGTAACCTTGTTATGTATGATTTTTTTTTCTTAATTAAAAGGCTAAGAAGCACCAGGCCTTCCTAGTAGAGACATGTGAAAACAACGTGAAAGAACTGGAATCGATCTTGGACAGCTTCACTGTGTCAGGCCAGCGGACATCAGGTTAGTTAAAGGTATAAAATGACAGATGCATCTGTCTGTGTTCCAAAGTCACTACATTCTGGGAATTCTGCAGATGCCTCTTTTAGTCCCTCATCTCAACATGTTTTGATTTGATGACATGATAAGAGCAGTTCTCACAGCAGTTAGTTGGCCTAGCTGGCTGGGAGAGGGTGAAGGAGTGTGGCCCTGCTGTTGTCCTCCCTGAACTTGATTTACAAGTGTTGAAGTCTGTGTGATTGGGCAGACAAGGGCTCACTTGCTGTGTTCTGAATCCAACTGAGAGAAGAGTCCTTACAGTATACCTGCAAGGGAACAGATGTTTCCATCAAACTGAGCCAAATTCTGAGGCAACCTTCAGCAACGTAAAGGTCACACATTCAAAAGGTTATGTAGGACACAGGCTGCAACAGTATATGTTCTATATGTTGCTTTCTAAGCTGGTTCTCGCCATATGTATGCTCTGGATAACAGTGCTTAGGTAAAATATTGTGGTTTTAGTATTAATCCACTTAATATAGTTAAGAACTATAACAACATTTGTAGAGTTTTTTTGGAACTAGCAAAATGTTGTCTAGAAGTTCTGCTCAGTTTCTGCTTTCTTAATTTTTTGTGGTTCTGTCACCATCTGTGCTATGGTAGCTCTGACAGGAAGCGTCTGCTCCCACCTGTTTCCTTTTGCCACACTGCCGCCCACTGCTGCCCTTTATTAGTTGTTTCATGATGCACTTACAATCTTCACAAACCAGTTAAAATTAAATTGCATACTATGTTTTAAAAGAGTCAAAATAATTTTTCAAGTGAGCTCTTTAGAGGAGTTTTAGGAAAATTTGTTGTCTTTGAGAAAGTGGGAGACTGTCAAGGCTGTGTTTTAGCCTATGGATCAGCAGTTAAGAAACTTGGTATGCTTTGCAGTTACTTCTTCAGTCTGCTTTTATCTTTCATGTGTTTCTAGCTGTGTTTTTATTAAGTTAATATATGACTTTTTTTTGCTTCTGTTTAAATGTTTCCCAAAAGCATTAGTGTTTTATAGATTTTTACTGTGGACAAATCAAAGTATATGAAAGTGACATCAAAATACAGGAATCAATTTGAAGTTTTTAGTTAACATTTTTAAAAAAACTTTGGAGTAAAAATTTTTTTTTCTGGCACTGATATTTTATTATTGAGATGTATATCAGCAATATGTAATGGAGTTAGGCTCTTTACAAATTGTTAAATATTGTCATAGCATATCATATACTTGATTAAATATTTCTTCACAGTTCAATTAGAAAAGCTAATGCTAAGGAGGTCATATATCCTTTGAATTTTAAAAAGAAATGATTTATAAAAAGCCATTCTCATAAGTTATTATAAAGCATATAGAAAAAGGATTGACATCTATGTGTTTTTTCATTCTTATCTTTTGGCTGCTATTTTTAAAATTACATTTTGGATGGCTCAGCAGTTAAGAGCACCGACTGCTCTTGCAGAGGACCCCGGTTCGATTCCCAGCACCCACATGGGGGCCACAAATCGTCCTTAACTCCAGTTCCAGGGGAATCTGAAGCCCTCTTCTGACCTCTGTGGCATTGCATGACACAGGTGCATTCACGTACATGCAGGCAATATACTCATACACATAAATTAAAAGTAATAAAATAAAAAAAATTTTTAAAAATTACATTTGTGTGTGTGTGTGTGTGTGTGTGTGTGTGTGCGTGCACATGTGCATGCCACTATGCAGGCAATATACTCATACACATAAATTAAAAGTAATAAAATAAAAAATTTTTTTAAAAATTACATTTGTGTGTGTGTGTGTGTGTGTGTGTGTGTGTGTGCGTGCACATGTGCATGCCACAGCATACATGTGAGGTCGGTGGACAGCTTTCAGGAGTTGGTTCTCTTTCTACCATGTGGGTTCCAGGAATCAAACTCAGGTAGTCAGGCTTGGTGGCAGGTGCCCTTGTCAGCTGAACCATCAAGGCTGCCCCAGTAATTACTGTTTTTTGACCTACTAGTTTTCTATATACTGAATACTCTGTAAATCACAAGAGATTTTGGTTTCATAAAAAGATTGTGTGCTTAATTAGTGGATTTTGGATTGGTATAGAGTCATTGTTGTTTCAAGTATTTTGTGATAATTATTTATTCTTTATCCTTGTTTGGACAATAGGTGCAGCAGTAGGAGATTTAAGAAGGCTGGAGAAGAAAGAGGTCAGGGTATTTATTTCCTCAGGTCCCTCTACTGGTACATTCTCAAAGCAGCTTCACCTTTCCATAGCTACAGTGCCTGTCTGATGGATTCTGTTTCATAGGCATGGCTCTTGTTAGATGTAGTGACAATGTATCATCCACTTAACCCTTTAGGCTTAGGCATAGTATTGGTTTTCCACTCTTGTCAGTTTTTAGTCCCTCATGATACATTGTTGGTTGTGTGCCTTTCCACATTTCTGTAGTAGTCTCTTCCAGTGAACTGTTCTGAGTGTGCCATCTAATTTTTTCTGACTCATATAACCCTTGGGATCAGCTTCACTCTTCTCTTGCTTTCGTGAATAGCCCTATATTATTGGAGTGGACTCTGTTTCTAGTTACACTAGTTTAGGTTGGATTGCTGCTGTTTATTTTTTTTTCGGTCTAATTTTATCTTTCATATATTTTTGGTTGTAATTTTATTAAATTACATGGCTTTGTTTTTCATTTAAACATTAAGATGAAATAATTACTTATTGGATACCAAGCAGTACTCAATAAGTGCAGTTAAATATTAAGTAATTTTGTTGCTTAATATTTAACAGAGAATCTGATCTATTTAAAAACACCCTACACCAATTTGAGGACATATGTGTCACATTCCTAAAAATCTGAATATATCTCAAGGTATAGAAATCTTTGAGAGTCAGTTTCAAGTCAAAGCATATTCTATTCTTGCTATGCGATGGTGGCACCTTCTGAGAACTTACAATAAAATTAGATCAGTTACCATGGAAGAATTTTCTAGATCTCCTCTGTTTTGTTATAAGTAGGCAATAGTGCTTTACTTCCTTTTATTACCTTTACATATCTTGATACATACTCTGTGCCTACCCCATATTTTAGGAAAAATAATCGATAGTTAAAATGTAGTGGGGCAATCATATAATGTTTTTGCTTGTTCTTTAAAATGAAATGATTGGATCGGTGAGATGGCTTACCAGGTAAAAGTGCTTACTGCACAAGCCCGAAGACCTGAGTCAAGCCCCCAAATCCACAATGGAAAGAGAAAATTGACTCTCAAAAATTTTCCTGTGACTTGTCCCCCCTCAATAATAATAAATAGAAAAACCCCAAATGATTGAAATTATTTCCATGAAGTAATCTTAGTCCAGAATTGACAGTAATTGCCACTGCACTTCGCACTGTGTTCAGATTTTGTGGTTTTATACATTGAGAAACAGTCTGGGCCAGGTGTGGTGGTGTACTCCTTTAATCCCAGCACTCAGGAGGAAGAGGCAGGGAATCTCTGTGAACTTGAGCCCAGCCTGGTCTATATATAGTGAGTTCCAGGCCAGGTGGGAGACCCTGTCTCAAAAAGAAAGAAAAAACAAACAAAAAAACCCCCCAAAACCCCCAAACCCCAAAATGAAACATTCTGACGTGTGAAGCTGTCTGTTAGTTTATCTTCAGTTAGCAGCTGAGCAAAGTCTTTGTTAGTCCAAGAATTGTCAGGATTTTATTTACATAGACGATTTAACTTTATTTTCTCATCTGCCATCAGTGTGGCAGTTTATACTCTTTCCTAGTACCTCCAGCACATCTCTTGTACTGACTGTTCTCTCTGCTTCTCTCTTTGCTCTTTTCTAGTCTGCCTCTTGACCACCAGAGTGATCAGTGAAAAATCCAAGTTCTAAACTTTCACTTAGAAGAAGATTAAATTTCGGGGATCTAATATATAGCATGGTAACTCTAGTTAATAATAATGTATTGTGTGCTAGAAATTTGTGAACAGTGTAGATCTTAAGTGTTTTACTGCCCTTCCCTGTCCATAAAATGGCCATTATGTATCATGATGGATATGCTAATTAACTTGAGTATGGGAATCACTTCACAGTGTGAACATGCACAAATAATCACACTCTATTACCTGAATATTTACAGTTTTAGTCAATTATGCTTTAGTAAGGCCAGAAGAGAATGACAACAAAAACTTGTTAGAGTTTGCCTTTCCTTTGATGTAAATCTTCAAGGCTTTGCATTTCCCGTGGAAGCCAAAGGGCTAGCAGTGGTTTGCTCCATCTTTTATTATCCCTTGATCTCATTGGCTACTAATCTCCCCTTCCTTCCTGGGCTTGGGCCATTCTAGCCTCCTTCCATTTCTTGAGCACACCAAGAATGCTCTTGCCTTAGTGGCCTTTATGATGGCCTTGCCTTCTAATTGGAGGATTTTATTCTTGCTGTTGTTTTAGCATAGTATGCCTGCATAGCTCTCTGTAGATTTATCGTCCTCAAATCTGGGCTCAAGTGTTCATGAAGCTTGCCCACTGCATACTCCCATGTGTTTCGCCTCACCACCTCTCTTCCTTTCTTGCTGTACTTTTTTGTTCCAGAGCATTTATTATTGCCACACATTTCTAATACATTGAGTTGTGTATTTCCTACTACATCTGAGCTGTCTCTTTTACTCATTAATGTGTAGGATGGCATGTGGCACAAAGAAGTCACTCAAAAGCCATGTGTTGACTATAAATAAAACATAAATTAAAAATTAAAGAAGTGTTCTAGTTTGATTCTCCATTGCTGTGACAAGACACTCTGACCAATACCAACTCAGGGAGGAAAGGGTTTATTTGTCTTACATCTCCCAGGTCGCAGTTCATCAGGGAGCCCAAGGTAGGAACTCAGGGCAGGAACCTGGAGGCAGGAGCTGGAGCACAGGCCATGGAGGAACACTGCTTACTGGCTTGCTCCTGTGGCCCTGCTGCTCAGCCTGCTTTCTTATGCAACACAGGCCCACCTGCTCAGGGATGCCACCACCCACA